ATGAGGGTTCACCATTAATTAAAAAAACTGGGTCAGAGGGGAAAATCTCTCTCTCTCTCTCTCTCTCTCTCTCTCTCTCTCTCTCTCTCTCTCTCTCTCTCAGTCGACCTCTAGCGGCCTAAACGAAGGTCTGATCAAAGGTAGAAGACAGCAGCAGTCAGCGCACGTCAGGTGAGTTATTCAAACTTTTGCCCTAACTTCACTCAGCTAACACACAGCAGGGCTATTAGAAAATATAGAAACATACACATTACTCTCTATTCGATGCATCAGATGAGGTTAACGTCTGTGGGGGTGTCTTCTGTTTTCATTAATGTTTGGTTTTAGTTTCCCCAGCTTAAAAAAATGTTCTCAAACTGAGTACATGCTCACCTTATATGTGATATAAGTGTTCAGGTTGTGTTTGAGGAGTAAAAAAAAAAAATCAAATTACAAGCACGTTTTCACAACTGTAAGGTATTTGTTTAACTTGCTGTCAGAGGAGTCTAACATATGGTCAAAGTTAGCCATTCAAGTCATGCAGAACTGACCTTTTTCCTCTCCTAGCTTGCTACACTCACTGAATCACTTTCCCTGAATGTTAAGGTATGTGTTTGTACTACATTTTGACAATGATTAATATTGGAGTTTATTTMACCTTTGGCGTGTCTGTTGGTTAATGGAGAGTCCAGCTGAAACCCTAAATCCTTAACTCAACGTTGTATACACAAGTCTTATCTGAAACCAGACTATATATCCCTCAGATTAGGAATTTTGAAGGCTTCCCAGATCATCAGTGAGATAACTTCTATTCTGCATGTTTTTTATAGCACATTTTATATCATTAYAGATAGCAGGAGGAGGGAGATAAAGTAGGAAGGTTTGGCAATATTTTACTCAGCTGCACTTTAATTCAACATAGTTTGGACTTATTCTTGCCTTAATTTATGTATTTTTTAAAGTAATCTAACTCTAAATTGATTCTTAAACTGAGTCCTAAATCAAAACATCCTTTGAAAATCAAAGGCATGATTTCCACCATAACTTAGAATACAGTCAGTTTGTGATTGTGCCAGCCCCAACAATGCAAACAACTGCAAATGATCAATTTGCATCTTCTCTCCCGCAGAGCTCAGCCCTCCCCGTTTTTAAGAACACAGAATTCTGCTCATATGACACCATCCTGTTTCTGTGCCTTRTACACATCCTGGTGCCGTGTCTGATGATGTCTCGGTTAAACAAACAGCAAGAGGCAGCGGAGCTGTGATCCTTGAGGCCTCCTTGTGTTTTCTGACACACCTTGGTTTTATAACGTGTCAAATAATTTCGCCAATAAAGTGTCTGGTCATGGCAGATATTCAGAGTTGGAAATCGTTGAGCAGAGTAGGACTGACAGCTGATCATGTGCGCAGTCACTGTAGTTTGCCCTGCAACTCGTATTTGGCTAGGGAGTAGCCAGTTTCTCACAGTTTACTGCAGTATTTAAGACTCAGTCTTCATAAAAAGTGAGTTTTTGACAAGTGCAATGCAAGTAAACAATTAAAGGCCTGCTTAAAGGCATACCTGTTGCCTTTCATTGTTTTAAACTACAGCTGTGTTGTTGAAAACTTAACTTGACTTCATTTTTTTTGTGATCTCTTTGTTAGGGATGACTCTCAGCTACCACACTTTAGCTTAATCTCTTTAAAATCGGCTGATGTATAGCCATTTTTGTTTCCTATAATGTTAGTTGATTGTGATGGCCATCTTGAGTTAGGTTGATTCCATAACCTAATCAGTTGTAGATGCACATCTAGGGCTGCCACAATTAATCGATTAATCGACGACTAATCGATTATTAAAATAATCGATGACTAATTTAATAATCGATTAATCGTTTTTTTTTTTTTTGTTCTTTATTTTGTTTTTCTCTCCAAACTGCTTTGACACCTTCCACTGCCACATCGGCCTTTCTGTCCTTGACACACATGTACAGTAGTGGTAACTGGGGTAGGCTGTGGACGTCACAAGACATTATACAGACAGGCTCTGGTATCATGGCTACCTGYCAACYGYGCTCAAAAGTGTGGGATCATTTTAAGAAAATGAAAGAGAAACCTGTGTAATATCTGCAGAGCAGAACTTGCCTTCCACAGCAGTTATTTTTAGTTAGCATATAGCTAAAATCTAACCATGGTTATATAATAGCATCTGCATTCTGGCGTGATAAGCTCTATGTTTTATATTCAATTAACATGTGATCTGATTAGTCGACTAATCGAAAAAATAATCGGTGATTAATCGATTATAAAAATAATCGTTCGTGGCAGCCCTATGCACACCCAATGATTACTCGCTGAAATTTTCATTAGAATCTGACCAGRGGTTCGTAAGATATTTTGCCAACAGACAAGCAGAGTTGACACCTGTGGTTAATGGCTAAGTTTTAAAACCTGATCTCGTGTGATCAGTGAGTGCTTGGAGTATATGTTGAAGATCAGTTTCAGGTATTAACAGGTTAATTTTTTTGATTAATATCTGTAAAATTAGCTGAGTTTTACATATGTTTGCTAAGGTTGGCTAGCTGGAGCAYCCATGATAAATTTTATTGACTCCAGCAGTAGGGACATTGTTGATGAACATCCTGTGATTACTTTCTGATAGTTTCACTAAAATCTGTGTAGTAGATCACAAGATATTTTGCTAACACACAGATATGGACAAAAAACATAATCACCCTTTCGGTGCGGGCYACAGTCAGACCTGGAGGGTAATAATCTGTCCTCGCTGACAGGAGTCCTTCACTGTGTCTCCGTTCAGGTATGTCTCAGTGGCTGAACGATGGAGAGGTGCTGGTGGGTCAGGGCAGCGGTGAAGCGGTGTCGGTCAGCCCCAGACCCCGGGGCCTGACCACCGGGAGCCCCAGGCTGGGTCAGAGACGGAGCCCGCTGCATTCGCCGCGGGTCAGAGAGGCGACCTCATTAAGCCCCCAGGCAGAGACCATGGGCAAGGCCAAAGAGTTGTTCCTTCTGTGCGACAAAGAGGGGAAAGGGTTCATCACACAGAGAGACATGCAGGTGCGCAGCTCGCTGGGTTCAGATTTCCACTTGTCTTCAAAGCGTTGACCTCTGTTTCGTTCTTCTGGTCAGAGGCTGCAGGGCGAGCTGCCCCTGTCCTCCGAACAGCTGGAGACTGTGTTTAAGAGTCTTGACCGAGAGAACAATGGCTTCCTCACTCCAGTGGAGTTCTACACAGGACTCGGTGAGTTTGCTGCAGCAACTGGACCGGCTCTGTAAGCTCCTCCGGTAGTTTATTACAGAGCATGTGTTGTTTCCGGGGTGAAGGTGAGCTGATGGGGCTGGAGGAGACGACTGAGCTGCACCCGGAGGAAGCAGAGGAGGGTGGAGGTGAAGTGGACTGCTCCCAGGACCCCACTGCTGTCAGATTTGTCAACATACTGATGGAGCTCGGAGCCGACAAACTTTTCAAAGAGTAAAGTATTTTTCTGACTCACATCATCCCTGGTTAAAAGTGTCACATCAAAGAAACACAAACTAGAGAACATTTTATTAATGTATACAATATTATGGACCTCCACTTGGTGTTTCATGACRCACAGTGGGTTCCTGACCTCAACTTTGGGAACCACCGATCTACTGTATGTCAAGTTATCAGTTAAAAGCTCTTTGGGAATTACCATCTAGGTGCAGAAATCTTAATTTTATGAGGAAAAACCATCTGGTGTTTTTTCTAAAATCAAATAAAAAGGGAATAAACAGTGTCTTTGTGTAACTAGTGCTTAACGATTAAATTTAAAACTTGTGAAAATTCAGTGTGAATGCTTAAGACTGAAAGACGTTTGCTGAAATGTGTCTTTTGCTTTGAGTTAAATTTGAACAGTTAAATGTAGGGAAACAAAAGTGAAAAACCAGTAGAACAAATAGCGAAAATATGTTAAAAAAGCTGAAGACGTACGTTAGCATAAATAAAGCTCAAAAAGCAGATTTTTTTTTAATTATTAGAAAGAAGTGTAAGAAGCAAACAAAGGTGACGTTTGGACCAAAATATTAAAGGGATCCATGATTAGTTGTAACAGGCTTTATTTAATAAACATATATTTTAACTGTAAAATAAAGACTGTAGAAATACTGTAGGATGTTCAGTTTTTACAATTTTTAAACTAAAAGTTTAAAACTATATTTTAACACAGACGGGACATTTTATTGACACACAAAGCATTCTGGGTAAAGGAAGACTTGGAAAGGTTCTTGGTGCGAGGCTGCTAGCGAGCTATATCCACCCTGAAGGTTAATCTTGGACAATATTTGACAATTGGCTCTTTTAAATGAAACCAGAGAGTGTTGACAGAGAGGAGAAGGTAGAAATGACTCAGCCTGCAACTGAAAATATAGATGGACCTCAGTTTAGCTTGTTTTTCGCACTAGCGCTGAGCTAATACATATAAGGCAATATAGCGTCTGCGTTAGCGCAAATGCTAACAGGCTAAGCTGAGATTCTTCTTCCATGAAGCAGCTCTGTTGTCCTCCATCCACATTTTCAGTTACAGGCTGAGTCATTTCTACCTTCTCCTCTCTGTCAACGCTCTCTGGTTTCATTTAAAAGAGTCGATCATCAGATATTGTCCAAGATTAACCTTCAGGGTGGATATAGCTCGCTCACACCGAGGACCTATCCACGTCATCATTTACCCAGAATCTTTTGTGTGTAAATAAAATGGCTCCGTTCGTGTTAAAATATATTTTTAAAATTTACAAAACTAAACAGCCTACAGTATTTTTACAGTCTTTATTTTACAGTTAAAATACTGTATATGTTTATCAAATAAAGTCTAATGTTAAAACTAATCAGGGACCCCTTTTAAAAAAGAATAAAACTTAGGTTTAGACAAAAGAAGGTAAAACATGCAGAAACATGAGTAACATGTGACCCTGACCTTTTATTTTATGAATTAATAGGGGTTGTTGAGGGAGCATGTTTTCTGAATTGTGAAAAAAATGTTACAGTTAGCTGAAAAATAGCTGAAATGTAGCTAAAAAGCCTGAAATTAGCAGAAAGAAACGGAAGGAGCACATTTGCTGAAATAAGCTGAAAACGGCTGAAGAGACCACCAAAATAAGAATTTCACTGGATGACAATCAAATAGCAATAAAAAAAACAGCTAAAGAATAACTGAAGAAGCAGAAAATATAAAATCAGCAGAATGAAGCTGAAATAAAAAGAAAGCTTAAATTGACAAGTATTAAGCAGCACATCAAAGCTGATATTAGCAGAAAGAAGTTGCAAAATGCTAAAAATAAAATCTGAAGAAGCAGCCAAGGTTTAAAGAAAGACTTTTAAAGTCAATCAGAATAAACAACATTGATCAAAACCCCTGTATTTAATGTAATTTGAATAATTTGTGTGTGTTGACAGTCAGCAGGAGCTCTGCACTCTGTGGTGTGAGCTCCAGAGGGGCACACCAGAGCTGCTGAGCTCCCTGGAAGGTGTCCTGGTCCTCGCCGTGTCCCACCTACAGGACACCATCAGAGAAAGGGACAATCTGGAACAAGCTCTTCGCAGGTGATGCACGCTACCTCAATTCTCTTTGGTTTATCTGAAAATGTTTGATTTTRTAAATTATTATTTTTTGCTCTGTCTCAGACGGGAGAGTGAGCATGACCAAATGGTCCGCTCTATATATGAGGAAATGGAAATCCAAGTCCGAGAGGAGAAGGAGAAACGGCAGGCACAGGAGCAGGTAATGACTGGCTGGATCAACCACTTTCACGCTAAAAAAACATTTATTTATTGACACTGAATTCTTTTAATTTGAAGGACAGCTCTAAGGAGAAGCAGAGGGGTCGGCGYCTGGAGGAGGAGCTGAGGGTGAGAGAGCAGGAGTTGGAGAGCACACTGAGCAAACAGAAAGAGGTTTGGCCTTTTCTGACAAGTTTTTATTATTGATGAGGCCCAGTACATACTGTATGTTTATATA